TTTGCCGTCAGCATTCAGCAAATACGCATTTATATCATTTAAACAAATCTTTGAATGTCTAATAAACATCTAATTTCAAAAACCTTGCAAGCTTAGTCGAATCCAGCTGTGAGATCTTGTGAAGTGTGCATGTGTATCCTGCATGATCGCATGTTCTCTGCGTGACGGTCGATCCGTGTGAATTGAATGCGGACAGGAGGAGAGTTCAGCTTCACTGGAGACGCGTGATCGTCAAACTTTAAACTCGTGATTTTAAATTATGCTGTGCTTCATGCTTTTGGCCACTGTCATATTCATGTCATTTCCACTGTGTGCTGTATGTAAAATGAGTATTACCTTGGCTTTATTTGAAAAAATATGATTAATGCACACAAACTTCCCAGAATACTGAGTGATTTAAAACTTTGCAGGATGTCTTCATTCACTTAGAGTTGTGTTACACACTGCATGAAAGGTAATTTTCAAAAATCCATAATAGGGGCACTTTAAAATAGAACATCCGAGAATAATATGATCCAGCGGGCCGCACTAAAAGTTGCCCATCTCTGCTCTATATCGCCAATAATATGTCTTAGTGAGATGAGATTAAATGGTCCAAACATATAATGCAATGCAGTCCAATGATGATTGAGTTGATGTTGATCACTTAAAGGCCTTATGTATCAAATATGATACAGTAGCTTTATAGGGTTAATGACAATTCAGTCATCATTGAAAGTCCTGTTAAAGACCTTCTGCAGGTTTATAACAACATGAGGGAACGATGACAGACTGTTCATTCAGGGCTGACCCTTCAAATATTAAACGCTTGAAATATTTCATAAGCTGTCAGGAGTATTTCAATTTGAAGCTGCGGTTCTCCTGGAGAATTTCACTGTGATCATCTGGCACATTTTTTGGTGTGGATCCTAATTCAGAAACAGAGAAAATGTGCTTTTCAGTGACCGTACAGATCTGACTCTAACTCTCTCGATTGTCGCGTTTTGATTGGCCTGTGAGCTGTCACTCATCGGAACTGACCAATCATATTGCATGAAGTCAAGACTCTTGTCCTATAAGCCCTGAGCTTGTGAATGATATAGTTTTGTGCTTTTATGCATATACAGTAACTCTCCAAATTCAGTGTTTTATGTGCATAACAGGAGTGATATGGTGAAATCTCTGCACTGATGTGTTTATTTGTGATTCCCGAGCGCTGCCGCTCTAAACGGCCTGGATCTGCCGCAGCATTAGTGGATACTGATCCGTATCTGTCAATACTGTCCCGTGTCACATTAGCGTTCATGCCATCGACTCTGAGGGTCTCCTGCGGTCAGACAGACACACATTCACCCACCGAACCGGAACCGTACCACATTTGCACTTTATGAGAGTAGAAATGCTGCATGACCATTAGTGCACTTTCACAGTGGTGATGTTTACACAGGGGTCTTATTATTATAGTAGTATTTTGTTCTTTCAATCTGATGTTTTTCCCTTGAAGTAAAAACAATTTTAGTCTAGTTTTTTTGTTTGTTTTTTTGCACCAAATTTATTTTTAATGTTTCATTATATTTGTTTTAAAAGTATGATATTTTTAGATTTATTATGAAATTATACTTATATTTATCAAATTCATTTTTTTCAGGGTGATTTTCCACATGCTTTCTGATTCGTACAATTAAGCAGGCTATTATTTGCTTTTTTCTTTGACATTTCCAACTTTTATTATTTATTCATGTTTCTTTTTTTTCTTGAAGTCCTTTAATAATGTTAGTGAGGGTTTTTGCACTGAATTTATTTTGAAAATTATGATAAATGTATTTATGATATATTTAGGTTTGTTATTAAATTACATTTAAATTGATCAAATTTAATTTTTGGGGACCATTTTCCACCCTCTCTCTCTGACTCAATTATTACAATTATTAAACCGATTGTTATTTGTTTTTGTTTTTTTTCATAGACTTTTACCACTTTTATTATATATTATATAATTTCTTAAATGTTTTATTGAAGTCCTCTCATAATGTTAGTCAAGTTTTTTTTGTTGCATCAAATTTATTTTAAATAAATTTTATTTTATAATATTATTTTTTTATATTTTAATTTATTATTTTTTTCAGGATCATTTACCACTCTCTCTCTCTGACTCTTACAATTAAACAGGCTGTTCTTTGCTTTTTTATAGACTTTTTCCACATTAAATATTTATGTTAAATTTTTCTTCGCTTAGAAGTCCTCTAATAATGTTAGTCAAGGTTTTCTGCACCAAAAACGGTCAAATTATTATTTTTTTTCAAGAAGATTTTCCACCCTGTCTCAGACTCTATTTGCTTTTTTCATACACTTTTCTACATTTTATCATTTATGAATGTCTTATTGTTAGTTAACCTCCTTATTACTTCACTGTGACTGGACAGATAACGTATAATATTATTTTTTTATATTTTAATTTATAATTTTTTTCAGGATCATTTACCACTCTCTCTCTGACTCTTACAATTAAACAGGCTGTTCTTTGCTCTTTTATAGACTTTTTCCACATTAAATATTTATGTTAAATTTTTCTTCGCTTAGAAGTCCTCTAATAATGTTAGTCAAGGTTTTCTGCACCAAAAACGGTCAAATTATTATTTTTTTTCAAGAAGATTTTCCACCCTGTCTCAGACTCTATTTGCTTTTTTCATACACTTTTCTACATTTTATCATTTATGAATGTCTTATTGTTAGTTAACCTCCTTATTACTTCACTGTGACTGGACAGATAACGTTTCCAAACATATAACAGGTTTCATTGATGTGTAAATGTGGCCGTTAAAGTGATATCTGTCGGGTGTGAGTTTGAAATCAAGCTTTTTTGCAGTTGTTTCAATAAATGCTCATTTTGGACGTAGAGGAAGTTTTGTTTTCATAGAACACAAAAGTATCGATGTCAGCCGAAAAAGAAGGATTTTGATTTCGACTTTTCTTTTTTTTAAGAATTTCCTGTAGACTGTAACTTGAATATTCTGACCTGTGTTCGCAGCTCCAGAACGACCTGGATCAGGAATACCAGGACAAATTCCGGCGGCTTCCACTGGAGATCCAGGAGTTTGTGCAGGAAAGCACCAAGAGAAAGACTGAGGACGGAGAGCAGGAGCTTCTGCCCTCATCCTCCTCCACGCTGGAGAAACTCATGCAGAAAGGCGCACAGTCTGAAGACGACACGGAGGAGGACAAGAAAGACTGATGTCGGAAACCTTCAGGATCTCTTCCCACTTCACTTTCACGTTCCTTCATTTCCAAACTAGAGATTTGTAAGGCTTGCGTTTACTCCTGCAGACGAAGGAGGGTTTGTGTCGCATCAGAAACACGGCTTCATGTCACGCTGGGAGTTACGCGTTTGTTTTAAGTTTTTGTTTTCTACTTTCTAAGATTTACATCTGAATTATTTCTAGTGTTCTGTTGATGTGCTTCTCATGATAACGAGTAAACAGTGTTTTAATGGAAGAGAACACAGGTCATGACACTGCACAGAGATACTGTAGCCATCAGTTATCTTCAATGGATGAATCTCACAAAAACACCCTGCTCAAGTCAACCCAAAACAACAATCTGGGGCTTATTTCACCCGGAAAATATATTTTGCTTAGAAATAAAATATCTGTCTGTTTTAGGGCCATTGAGATTTTTGCATTTTTAAATTGTAAACCTTAAAATAGGGAATTTATTTATTTATTTATTTTAAGCAATATTTATATGAAGTCTTCTAATAATATTAGCTGCTTTTTTTTGTTTTGTTTCTTTACATATTTTACCTCAAAATTATATTTTGCTTCAAGAAAAATAAATCTTACGTCTTAGTCTTAGGGCCTTTAAGATTCTTGCATTTTTAAATTGTAATTAACCATATTTCACCCCTAAAATAGGTCATTTTTTTAAGCGAAATATTAATTCCTGTATGTTAGACAAGACATACTCACAACATTATTTATTTCACAGTATATGTATTATTTGTTTAATTTTTTTAATTACTCGAAGTCCTCTCTTTTTTCTTCGTCTTTTTTTTTCTTTTTTGCAATCTGGGTCATATTTCAATTATAAAAACATGTAAGATATGTGCATTTTTTAAATTGTAACTAACCATGTTTTGGTCTTTTTATATTTTTTATTCAGCAAAATATAAATTCTTGTTTTTTTTTTCTATTTATTTTAGGAATATAGGAATTGAAAATAAATAAATAAATAAATAAATAAATTATTCCACCAAAAACTGTTGTTATATTTACATTTATCAAATTAATTTTTTCAGGACCATTTTTCACCCTCTCTCTGACGCTTACAGTTAACCAGTTAATTTGCTTTTTTTAAATAGACTTTTCCACATTTATTATGTATTTATGTTTCATTTTTATTTAAGTCCTCTAATAATGTTAGCCAAGTTAGAATTTTTTTTTTTTATCATTAGTTAATTATTTTTAAATGACATTTTAAAATTGTAATTAACCATGTTTCACCCCTAAAATAGTTTTTTGTTTTTTTAATAATGTATTTTAATTCATGTTTTTTTTCCCCCTTTTGATTCTTGGCTTGATTTCTCGGCAGGCTTTGTGAGATTCACTCTTCCGGGCGTGAGAGTTTGTGAACGGTTCCTGGTTTATTTGCACTGAAACGGATGATGACTCTTTGATTCATCTTCTTCTTGCTGCTGTTGGTTTGGTTGGATCGTGCCGTGTAAAGACTGTCCTGATGTACATTAGAAACAGACTGGTCTGGAGCAGTTTCAGGGATGCATGCTTGCAGTCAGCCGGCCGTTTGTGCTTCTACACATTTGTAAATGTCAGCAATATAGCTTGTGTTGTAATGTGATGAACTATTATCAATTTGTGAAGATGTGTTTCAACTTTATAAGCTTTATTTATTTTCAAACCCATAACAGACACCTTTAGGTCATTTAAAAAAATATTTGCATATAGTGTTTTATTTGCTGTATTGAGGGACCGTTTCAATTCGTCCCGGTTTCTGTTTAGGAGGTTTTACGAAACTCGTTTAATTCTTTCTTTTGTTAGAACAGTCAGACTTTTCCAGTTAGCATCAATAGGTCACTTTATTAATGACTGAGTGAATCTCATGAAAACATGTCCAGCTCACATTTCACCCCAAAATCAGACAGTATGACAGTTTTCAGGCATTGTACTTTACTGTAATAGTGTTTTATCAGAATAAACTAAAAGGCAGTACAACATCATGATGCATATATTATTCGTTATTATTTGCATTACAGTGCATTACAATGTGTCATTAAAATGTTGCAAAAAATAATGATGATCTTAAAATATGCTTTATTTTTGTTTATTTATTTATTTGCAATATGCAACTTCTGTTTTGGGGGAAAATATGACCCGAACATGTCAGATTTTGTTTGTGGAAGTTTGTTTCTGCCATGGAATAAGAAAGATAATTGCAATTTTTTTCTCGCAATTCTGAAAACTTTTGCAAAATTCTGAAAACTTCTGAAAGAATTGTGAGATATGAACTCGGAATTGCAATATATAAACATAATTTTGAAAAAAATTATGATATACAAAATTAGAATCTGACTTTTTTCATGCAATTCTGAGTTTACATCAATTCTGCATTTGTCTTGCAACTCTGACCTTTTTTCTCTGAATTGTGAGTTTACATTTTGCATTTGTGTTTTATGTATTTATTTTTATTCACTATGCATGAAAAAAAAATTAATTGTGAATTTTTATCTTGCAATTCTATTTTTTTCCCCTTCAGAATTTCAAGTTTTTATCTCAGAATTCTGAGTTCATATCTTGCAGTTCCAAGGTTATATCTCCAAATGTTGAATTCTTATCTCAGAATTCTGAGATTTTTCTTAGAATTGTGAGGGAAAAAGTATGAATTTTGAGATAAAAAGTAGCAATTACCAGTCGCAATTATTTTTTTAATTTATTTTTTTTAATCCCATGGCAGAACCGGCCTTCCATATAAATGAGATTCACCTCAGTCATAAATAAAATTAGTAATGCAGATGAAGGCAAGAAATAAATAAATAAAAAACAGAAAGAAAAAAAAAAGGATATGCACTTTGGATGTCCCGAGGTATTATCATCATTATGCAATCTTTCTACGTAAGTCAGAAAGCATGTAATATTTCCTTTTTACAACTTTATTTTGTTCCGTTTTGGATGTGTTTAAGGATTTCTATGCCAAGTGGAATTTGATTGTTAATTCTTTTCTACTTTACGTCTCTACTTTAGTGATTTCATTCAGCACTTTGATTAGCTGTTATTTCTACTTTTATTTCTATAACAATTTTTACTTTTTTAATCTTTTTAATCTACTCCGGTTGGGTTAGTGCTGTATTTAAAGTTACACCTAGTAAGAAATGAAATTAAGTTAGACATTGATTTTCGGTATATATTTGCAAGGTTTTGATGTTTATGTTCAATATCTGATCTTTGTCAACTACTACAAAGTGCCAAAATATGTTTCTTTGAACTTTTCAACGACAGATTGGTCCAGAAAAACCATCATAAACCACAAATGTTGAAACCTTGCATAATATCTGTTTGGTCAGTTCAGCGTTTTATCATTTGCTGGATCATTGCAGTGGCGTCATTGGGAAGCAGCTGCAGAGAGTTGATCATTTGCTCTTAATTTCCCCATAATTACTAGTTTACATGTCAAATGAATCCTGTGTATATTCACTTCTAGAAGTATTGCATTGAATTTTTACAACACGATTCTGTGCCATCGTTTCCTTTCGACCGAACTCTTTTTGCAATGTAAGATTACTTGAATTACTTTTCTGACTCGATCGTTTTGAAGTGAAGTCCTGTGCCTTTGAATGTTGAATCTATGTTAGATGTGGAATGTAAAAAGTGTTGATGAATAGAGCTCATTTTTTGTATAAACCGTGCGCACTTTTAAGATATTTGTACTACTACAGAATTAGATAGATATGACCTGTCAGAATATGTATGCTACTGAATGCCACTTTATTATTTTCGACTTTTATTTGTTTCTGTTGACAGAAAAGATTTGACATTTAAAGACATTTGATTTGGTCCACTTCTGTTATTAGTATCACAAATATCAAGATCTTTGGAAGACAGATATTGTTGAATGTAAGTTGTGCTCGTGTTGTGCACTGGTTTTAATAAAATTGTTCTTGTGAAATTTATGCTTTGAACAATATTAATCATTTGCTCCTTTTCCCACAACTTTCACAGTGTGAAATTAAACGTATATGAGCTTTTAGATGTATTTTACAGTAGAGACTGTCATTTGTGGTGCATTAGCCAACCCCCGACAGATTAATACTTAATAAATCAAAAATATATTAAACTTTTATGACATTTCTAACTTCTAAATTCAATTATTTAAATGTTCTGTTGAGATTGACTTCATAAGGTTTCTATTATTTCCCCTTTGAAGTATTTTAATATATTCCTCAAACCTATCAAAACATAGGCTATCAGACAGATATTATTGATGAAAATTTGTTATATGACAAAGTAGGTAAGCATAAAAAATAGGTATAAGTATCCATTGCTTCTGTTTGAGTTCAGTTTGACCTCAGAAAAAAAAAATACAGCAAAACAAATAAAAATATTAGGCTATACCAGATGGATGTTTGCTATAGGTACTGTGTGCATAATATCAGAGCATTTATTCATATTTAAAATTTACAGTCTCTGATACAGTAATGTTATGGAGGACAAGTGAAAAATCAACCAGAAATCTTGTTTATACTCATTTCTCATATGATTAGGAAGGTCAGAAGTGTATGTAAACAATATGCTACAGTTATGCGTTTAGCATTTAGCACTTAGCATTCGGTATGTTTTGCCCGTACAGAACATGATGGCTAATTTTTATTTTATATATATATTTTTAGTTATTATAAAGTGTTAACAGTGATATTTTAGGAATATAAAGAGAAAATCATAATTAATGTAATATTTGTACGGTCAGTTTTCGTGCTGTAATGCCGACGGAGGCCTGCGGGTGTCGCTGTTTAATCGTCTGAAATGTTTAACGTTCCCATCAGGCATTAAAGGGAAAATCAATCTGAGTCTGACTGGAGCAGCAGATCTGCGGGTAAGTCAACACAGAAACTCAACTTTTACCAAATAAAATGAAGTAAACTTTGACAACGAGGCATTGGTAGTTAAATATCCGCTTGATTTCTCACGTGTGTTTATATTAATGCTGATTATTAAAACTAAATCAACTCAACAACATCCGTCTGTCAATCACAAACTGATTCAGTCACTGAGTGTTTTGGATTTGCACTCTTCTGACGTTTTTATGGTCAACTGTTTCATTCAGAACATTATAAGTTACAATAAACGTATCAGTGATTGATTTTGGCATTGGTGGGGAAAAATTGTTGCTAGGGACAATTTAGTAATTTAGTCGCTGGATATTGGTTGGGACATGAAATGAGAATCATAAGCGATGTCCGACTTTGGAAACTGTAATTCTCTCCTTAATATGAAGAGATCAAACAAAAGCTTATAAATGTAAATATAATATAAGTCAGACACTGACGTGAGTTGCTGTTTTTGTCAATTCTGGGGAAGATTCTTTCCTTGTCAGATATTTTTAATGTTCATCTAATCTCATTTTGTGACTTTTCTTTCTGATGTTTTCTTTGGATTGTTTGACTACTCAAAAGAGAATATAAATTAATTTGTGTTTCCTACTAGCTAAATTTCACATACATTAACAAAAATCTGGCTCTAAACCTCTCTTTTCTTTATTCAGAGTTGATCTAGATGAGTGTATGGAAACTTTCTACAGTTTAATCCTAAAGCAGTCGAAACGGTATCTCTATATTCATCCTATGTGTCCTCTTAAGGCTTAAATTTACCACTTTTTTTGTTAAGCTGGCAACACATCCCTTACAAAAATTAGCTATGGTTTTACTCTAAAGAAAAAAGGTAAACTGTGGTTCTACAAAAAAAAAAAAAAAAAAAAATTTAAAAAC